ATTCTGCAAAAAAATGATATTTAAACCTACTACTATCCACATTTAATGAATTTTTAAGTCATTATTAAAGTAGTTCCGGGCAACATATTTGTGTATTTTTTATTCTAAATGAAAATAATGAAATCTCTGAGCAAGTGTTAAAGTTAAGGAAATTAAATAAATATTTTTTGTTTTATAATCAGTTGTACTTTATATTTTTGGAAAACAATCAACACAATTGATCCAGGGGGTACTCATGGTACTGGCCAAGGGGATACACAAGTCAAAAAAGGTTGGGAACTACTGCTCTATGGCATGGTGTTTAATCTGTCAAATAAAAAAAATAATAAATTAGAAGTCTAAGGATAGTCTGTGATCATTAAAATTTGACTTTGGGGAGATTGTGCTCCTCTAAAGCTGACACCATCCAGTTTGGTATCACAGTTGATTTGGAAAAACTGCCCACAGAAGGTGAGAGTAATTTTACTTTGTGCACAAAAAATGTTTACTACTTTGCATTAATAATAATGTTCATAATGCATGGACATGCTTTGAAGGACACTTTATTAAGAAAATATTCTTTTTGCTTTATCTAAAGAAGCTGTACTTTTTCATTTGTTGCATCAGGGCATCCATCCATCCATCCATCTTCCTACACGCTTGTCCTGAGTGGGGTCGCGAGGGGTGCTGGTGCCTATCTCCAGCAGTCAATGGGCGAGAGGCAGGGTACACCCTGGACAGGTCGCCAGTCCATCACAGGGCAACACAAAGACACACACAGGACAAACAACCATTCATGCACACACTCACACCTAAGGAGAACTTAGAGAAGCCAATCAACCTAACAGTCATGTTTTTGGATTGTGGGAGGAAGCCAGAGTACCAGGAGAGAACCCACGCATGCTCAGGGAGAACATGCAAACTCCATGCAGAAAGACCCCGGGCCGGGAATCGAATCCAGAACCTTCTTACTCAAGGCAGCAGTGCTACCCACTGCATCGCTGAGCAGGATATGCAGTTAGACAACTTTAATCCAGTAAGATGCATATCATCTTTGAAGAGGAAACAATTACTGTCAACCTAAAATAAATATATAATCCATGGGATAGAAATACAAAAAACATTTTATGGGTAAGCATACTGTAAGCAGCTAGAAGTGGGTTTGGCTACCCTTACTTTATTTTTCCAAGGGTTTTTCCTCTTTCTAAACAGATGGCTTGTCTGGTTATAATGAGTCTCTGAATGAAGAGAGTTATAATGGTGATGATGATAGAAATGTATCATGTCCTTTGTTTAAGAAGTTCAGCTACAGTGGGAATGCCACAGGCTTCCCAAGAGGAGCTGGAGGAGTTATTTGGTCTCTGTCTGCTGAGACTGCTGCCCCCGCAACCCTGTCCCGATTAGGTAGAAGACAACAAGTAGGAAGAAGAAATCTTTGCATTTTATCTTTTTTAAACAGTGTTTTTTTTAGCTAAAGAGACAAAACATTTGGTTTGAGGCTGAAGGCCAACAATTAATGATAAACACTTTATCAGGTACTCCCCATACTTCTAACAACAAGGGGGGAGAATGTGAAACATTTTTTTAGAGAGGCTTAAAGTTCTTCCTAGTTTAAGTTTAAAACTTGTCCAAAAAATATATATGTATCTGTATTTATCCTAGAAACCTATGTTCTTAGCAAAATAATCCTATATCATGTCATCATTCTAACAATTTTGAACAAACAAACAATAAACCCTAGAAAACAGAAATTAGGGAGCCCCAATGCAACCTAACGGGTCCAATTGACACAAATTGAGCAAAAAGGAGGTAGAAGATAAAAAGCTTTATGATTTCTTACCCCTTTTACACCACAGCATATGATCATTTAAGTCTATCTGCACCAGTTAAACCCTTAACTAGCTCCAAAATAATAAACATACCCCCCCCCAAAAAAAAATTGTTAATCTATAAGGAACCCTACGTAACTTTTTATACATTGAGTACCAACAACTGTACTCAGATTATACATCACATTTTCCAATCAGTTCATCCTTATACAGTTGTTTTTGCATAAGTATATATTTCTGTTTTGTTTAAGTCCGTTTATTCCATACAGTACATCCACTCTGATAAGCTAAATCGTTATTTTATGGTTTGGAAGCATCATTTTTTTCTCCAACTCTTCTTAAATCATAACCCCATTCTCTGTCATCTTTGAATATTAAGTGGAAATAGACAGTTATTTTTTTTAAGTAAATTAATTCAAATGTAATTCAGTTGACCTGTTTGAATGAGCTCATTTGAATGCAGTTTGGAGCATATTGGATCATGAATGATTAAAAGCCAAGTGTGGACAAAAAACAACAAATGGAAATTTACCATTCCACTGCAAATTCAAAAGTAAAAGATATCACTTCCTGTTCGAGTTGGAGGGGATAAAGTGATGGTAGCAAATGATCATGTGAAAGTTTTGAATAGGTCATTGATGATACACAGACATTTTGTTTCCGACTTTTTTTGTGGGAAATACTCCTCTGTCTTTCATTGCAAGAAGTCAGATTTTAAGGCCTGAACATGCCCAGATGCTGTAATCGAGCAAAAAGCATGAAATAATTTAGCTATAGAAGCTTGATCAGATACAGTGTTCTAAAGAAAACAAATGGCTGCTGTGACCAGTAATGGTCTACTTCCTTTGAGGTTTGAACCATGGTTCTAAGAGATTTTAAGTGTACTAAATTGTGTACCTTTATGAAAAAATAATAATATAATGTGGAAGATATTTTAAAAACTTTGCAGGGGTACTGTGGAGCTATTTATTTTGTAACTTTTGTGAAAACTGCTAAATAAAGCCTTAGCGTAAATTCAATCTGGAAGACTCATATCAGCTTCAGCTGAACCACCTGTGATATCACTCATTCAGCTCCAGCCAATCAACACGATGGCCAAACCTTCTCAGAAGCCAATCATTTTGCAAGATGCCCTTCATTTAGCTGCTGGACCAGCTTCTCTCTCCTGCACACAAGTAAACTTTCACCCACCTCCATCCCATCTCCTCCCTCATTCTCAGACTATTCTCAGTCTCACTCACCCTCTGGTTTATTCCACCACCAGTGTCTGGGCCCCGGAGGAAGACTACTCCAATCCTTTTCTACAGTAGGTTACTCATCCAAGCATATGTTGATTCACAGCATCGAATTGTTCTGCCGGGGCCCGGACGAGAAATAACTTATTTCATTCATGTCTTTATCTGCTTCTATCTCCTTGAACCCCAGTTGTCGCAGTAGATTGTGCTGGAGGTTTCTTCCTGTTAAAAGGGGGTTTTCCTCTCCATTGTTGCTACATGCATGCTCAGTGCAAGGGATTGCAGAGAGTCAATGAGTCCTTGCTTTTTCCTTAGAAATAAATATTTTAAAGAATATGATTGTGGTAGCTGTATAAATAAATATATATTTTTTTTTAATTGCAGCTTTTCTCAGTGTGAGTCTCTCCAGGTTAAATAACTCTGATTTGAATCCCAGCTGACAGTTGTGTAACATTTGTTGAGCTTTTTGTGTGTTTAGGCCTCTATAAAAGCCTTTTTACTGGAGAAGAGAAATATCAATATTTTAATGGGCATTCACATCATGATTTAGTTTCTTAAAATAGAAAAAAAAAGAGATTAACATAAATAATATTGAAATAATAATAATGTTGGCTAAAAAAAAACATATATGTATCCACGGTATGCATTCAATATTTATTCAGGGCTCCTGTTGCTGCGGGCTGTGAAAGTTGTTTTAATATTGGCCCTCAACTTGTCTCCACTGTCTCTAGGGTTCCTCTTAAACCAGACCCTATTTGGAGTTGTAGTGAGAAAAGTTTGTTGGGCTGTCAAGCAGTGACATCATGGTGCATTCAGTTCAGACTGGCAAAAACAAAATGACCAAAACTGGCAGATGGAATCCTTACATACTAGACCTTATACTGCTCTTTGATTTTAGTCCTCCAAACTCTGGGACCTTGATTCAGATTACATGTTAATTTTATTTATAATTTATAATCTTGTCTTGAAAGATTGACTGTAGTCCATAGATAAAGCTTTTGAATGAGATTCAGGAAAATGTTCAAAAAAGATTCATGGGCTTTAATATATACATGACTTAAATAAATCATTGAGCCTTCAGCATGAGAATAATATAAGTTAAAATGTTTTTTTTTGTGTGTGTGTTTTCTTTCTAATTATACATCAAATATGTTCATATTGTTTTAATACAACAAAATAATAACCTCTTTATCCGTTTAGTTTTAGTATCTAATTGTTTGTTTGCAGCAGTTCCATTTCAAACTGCATTGAAAACTCTTTCTTTTGCAGTGGCAGCGATCCATCTCATACCGCCTGTGCAGCTGTGAGAAGAAATGTGGCTGTGATCAAATATGAACATTTTCATCAAGGGAAATATGTCTGAGGATTGTTAAACAGAGAGAAATTCCCCGCTGCGTAGATTCACATCATGCGTTTGACATTTGAATAAAACAGATTAACAGATTTGGGCGTTCATTTGCGCTTAAATGTCAGTTTAAAGGGACCATAAAACTGTTTTTGTGTGATTTGAATATTCTTATCATTCATTTACTTTATTTGTTGTTGTTTTTTTAATGTTTTTTTTAAGAGGATATTATTTGTCCCTAATAGTAACGATAACCTCTCCATAGAAATATCTTCATGTTTGGTGCTGATTTCGCTCTGTATTTAAAAACAACCAAACTTCAAATTTTTTTGCCAATAATTGAATTAGATAAAAAAAAGAAAACGTTTAAAACTACTGGTGATAAACGTGCGTATAATCCATCAGGTGTCCAGGCATGCGTTGTGGAAACGCGTCTTGCGCCCTCTGGTGGATCTTTCCGAGCACTGCTCTCAGTTTCATTGGGAAGCCCGCAGCTTACGGAGCCTCTATGGGGGCGCAGGGCGCAGTTATCGTCCGCCTGGCACCTGTTGCTGCTTTATTAAGATTTTTCTCACCTGCCTGTTGAGGATTTTAACCACTCAGATCTTCACTATGTCCGAGGAACACATGAACTCCAACTCAAGCGGGTACTATTTTGACAATTCATCAACAAGGATCCAGAGCAGCTTCGCGTTCTCAGGACCAGTTTTTGTCATTCTGATGGTCATGATGGTGACTTTGGTCGTGGTGATAGTTCTGGGAAACGCACTTGTCATTTTGGCTTTTAAGGTTGACAAGAGTTTGAGGAGACAATGCAATTACTACTTCCTGAATTTGGCTATCTCAGATTTCCTTGTAGGTGAGTTCAATCTTTATTTTATTAACTCCTTAAAGAGTCTGTGATGCTATGTTTTTTTTTTCTTTATCTTTTTTTCTTTATTTATTTATTTTACATGAAAAACTTATTCTTACTTGTCTTAAATATAAATCAAGTTTCTGTAGTGTTTAAATGGTTCAGTCAAAGCTGTCAAGTGTGCCCAAAATGTGTTCATCCAATTGAGCTGTATTGAATAGGATGGAAAGGAGTCTGTCTGGATACTGGAGGTATTTAGGCTGTAAAGACTGATGCTGCTATGAACTATACATTTTTTTGTGGACAGTTTTATTCAATTCATGATCAGAATCAACTAAAATTTTCTTTTAATTGAGTTACAAATGCTGTTAGAGAAATACTACAATAATAGCAAATTCTATGATCTGTGTTTGTCTTCTGACCCCCTTCCTCACTGACTGTTTGTAGGGGCATTCTGCATCCCCGTCTATATCCCCTACATCCTGACAGGCAGGTGGACGTTGGGTCGAGGGCTGTGTAAGCTCTGGCTGGTTACAGACTATCTGCTCTGCTCAGCATCAGTCTTCAGCATTGTGCTCATCAGCTATGACCGTTTCCTTTCTGTCACCAGAGCGGTGAGTGGAACATACTGTCCCTAAATACAGTAGCTTTTAGTCTGTCAGGTGAGTATCAGCATCTAGAAGGCCTCATACGTGGCTTTAAATTAAGATATAAATGAACACACAGTCCTTTTTTATCTGATGTTAAAAAATAAAATAAAAATAAGACCATGAAACTACTATCTTAGAGCTTTCTTTAATATTTTATTTGACCATTGCATAATACAGAATCATTTAGGGAGATTGGTAGATAGTAGAATGGTTTACCACTTCTAGGCTAATACTTTGTTGGAACCCCCTTAGATTCAAATTTGCAATTGAGTCTTATTGATTATGTATTTGTCATTAGTTACATCAAAGCACAATGATTAACCTGAAATTAACTTTAGCTTTCCTAGATTGTTTTTTTCTGCCATCTGTGTTACTTAGCAGGGGCACAACTACATGCCTTCTAAGACTCATCCCAGGTGCCCTACAATGCCCAACCCTCTTCATTGTTTTATGTTTATGTCTATAAAACTGATTTATTCATGGACAACCAGACTTTTATTACCAAATCTCTGCACTCACTCTCTGCTCCTCTCCCTCCTCTGGACCTTTCTGGTCTACATTGACTCACCTTACCTGCCTGCAGTAATTTTCCCAAAATACTGCACTGACAAGGTAGTCAGCAGAATTTCAAACCATACTACGCATCTAGGTTTTTGTTGCCTTTCTACTTTAAGTATTCATAACTGGTGTCATTAATAGTCTGGTCTACAGCAGATGGCATTATCAAATTTATGTCTTTTGTCTTCACCCCTTACTTGTGTTCTTCTTTGCTCAGTCATATGGCAAATAGGTATTATGTAATAGCTTTAATAAATTAAACTTATTTCTAATGCACTTTTCCAATATGAATGATATTAAAAAATAAATCACTTGGTTTGGGTGGCTGTCTGAGCTAATATTAGCCCAATCTGTTGCCTTCTCCTGTCTGTCCTGATTCTTTCTCTCACTTCCTCTCTTATTTCTCTTCATCATCATAGCCGGTTGACATAGTTTTGTGTTAAGGAGGTTTCAAAAATAGTTACATCAGAGTCAAGATATTCAAATCAAGTATATCATTCGTAAGTTCCACAATTTATCTGTTGTATGATTCATCATCTATACTATTGGTTACTACCTGGTAGGGTGGTCAATATTGATAATCCAAAAAGTATAACTACCGAAATGCTGTACATTAATGCAATTCTAATTCAGCATGGTATTGATGCAAAAAGACAAGCATTGCTTGCATATTTTAGCATTTGTTAAACGTTGATTTCTGATTGATTTGCAAATAAAAGAATAGTGTCTCAGACACCCTTAAAATACTCAAGTTTGTAATGTTCATAGAACCATTTATATGCCTTTAATTAATTTTTCTTTATTTTCTCCATCCGCATGATATCTAAAAGGGTATTGATACCGAGTTTGAAACTTTAGTATCATGACAACCCTACAGCCTGAACAATTAAATAACCAAACAAGTTCCATTCATTTTTTTCATGCTTTGCTATGGCGCAATACAGTGACCTGTAACTGTAGTAGTAATCTGGTAGCTATAACCAGCGTCCTTCTGATATACTTACATAACCTTCCTTTTGGCTTTTAATCAGTTTGAAAAGTATTATTCATCCCTATACCATCTTTTTTTTCTCCATCCTCCATTTATGCCCCTAAAAGCTGATTTCTTTCCCACCTCTTTATCTTTAGCTTCCTATCATCAGATGACAACATGGTTCCAACATGGTTCTTATTAAAACAATCGAACCCCCTTGGTGACTGAAAATGATTGTCTAATCGTCATTTTGGCCTCCACTGTAGTGCATCTCCCCCATGCCGCATAAAGAGTCTATCCATTTATTACTGCTTAGCACTAGCAGTAATTTGATTATAGTTTTTAAAGGATCACAATTATTAAACAAAAGTAGCAGTCAAAGAGGGCGTCCTAAAAATAACAACAACAGTACATATGGATAAATACGTGACAAGGTAGTTATAGTGATAAAACTGGACATTATGTTCTGATGAAACCAAAATCTACCTTTTAGCCAACATTTTTAATGATGTTTTGTTGCATAGAAGCAAAACGTACCAACCAATATCCATACAGTGAACCACGGCAAAGGGTCCCATCATGCTGCAGGATTATTTTTCATTAGAATGAACAGGTTTTTGGTGAAAGTGGTGAATTATAAAAAGCTAAAGATTAGGACAAAGTTATTTTAATCTGAAAAACTCACATGAAGAGAAAAGACAATTAGGAGAAATTTATTGATACGATTACTTTGTCTTTGGTGCTCAGACCTCGGCAGGAAACATAGCGCTTGATTTTGATAGATATGCATGAACAGGAGCAAAGAATAGGGCTGTTTCCCCCCAGGTCTGAATGAGTGGAGTGGAGATAGATGAAGTTGGTCAGTCTGTAGACTGCTGGTTAGTGAGACGGTATGCTGAGCTTTATGGGGAGATCCAGTGAATTTTGTGAGCTGATATTAGAGCTTCACTCAGGGACCTGGAAGATGGAAGTCCAATTGGGTAACACAGGTTGAGAGAACCTATCCGTGATTAACAAGCATGAAGCGACAGTGGAGAGGAAAAACTCCCTGTTGGGAAGAAACCTCTGGCAGAACCAGGCTCAACATGGTGGTCTTCTGCCGGACTGGTTGAGATGAGACATGGAACGCAGTAAGAGTCCGGGAGGGATGACACTCTAATGAAGCTTAGCTATGATGGTGGAGGAGGGGCTGGAGGTGGGTTGAAACGGTGTCATCTGAATGAAGTCACACACCGCATCCGCCGCCTGCGCACAGGAGCAGACAGGTGTGTATTGGAGGCTTTTTAAGGTGAACTTTGGATGCAGATTGGCTTTCGTGGAGGTGTGGCTCAAAGCTGATTGGCTGTGTAGCAGGTGGATGTTGGAAAGCAACGAGTTTCTTCCGTTGAACTTTCGCCTAGGCTCCATATTTTAGATTCAAACAGAGAGTATAAATCTCAATGAATATATCTACAATAAACATTAACATAGGGTCACCAGAAAAAAATGGCCTCACAATTTTAGACTTTTTGAAGATCTTTAGCAAGGTGATATCAGTCTTGACTAGTGGGGTCTCAATGTTTTATGAGGAGGCCTACACATAAGATAAAGTTTGACAATGATAACAACTAGCTGCCTTTTATACCATGGGTAATTCACAGGAAGAAAGTATGGAAGACTTGTCAGACAACATGAAATAATAGTTATTAAATAATAGTTAAAATATTAGTTATTAAATAATACACAAATCTCACACAAAAGGCAATAAAATTGTACCTGGTCAATTTTAACATAGCCAAAAATCATATAACTCTTAAAAGTCATATACAAGTTTTCTAAGACTATCATCCTAATTTCATTGGTCTACTCCATATTTTTGAGCAGCACCATGAATGCACCCTGCTCTTTTCCTGCCCTGCCTTGTTAAAGAAACAAATCAAGAAGAAATGAAATAACTGAGAATACAGTATTTTACTCTTACCTAAACCAATTGAAGTTTAAGGAAAGACAAATAGTTATTTTTAGGTTCCTTTTTTTTTATTGAACGGATGGCCAGTCTCTCTTCTTCTCAATAATGTTTCTCCACTGTATAAATAAGTTACAATAAGAATTTGAAATAACCCCAAAATTTAGTCTCTAACTCACACTATAAAAACAAACACATTTCAGTTGGAGTCCTACTAAAGGCTAAATTCTGAAGCTAAATCCGGATTTGATTGAACAGAGTATTCATTTAAAGTTGAAACCAATTTTAGTTTTCTCAGAGCAATTAGTTTACTTCTCAGTTGACTTAGACAGAATCCACCTTGTAATTAATTGAATTCTGGTTAACAATTTAAAGACAGGGAAGAAATGAAAATAATTTTAGTACGTTTTTATCTTTTTTATCACAAAAACAATCAGCTTCAATTTAACTGTGAATACTTCTCCAACTCAAACCCAAACAGGAGACCTTTTCTCACTCCACTTAAAATAACTGTCCTTTTAAAGAGGTCTGCTCAGAATGCCTGTTTAGACCCAATTTAAATCTTATGATCAGAATATTCATTCCTTGTGCTCTGTGGCTTCATTTCTTATGAGACTGAAAGGCCAGTGGTTGGGGCGCAGCTACCACATCCTCCCAAACGTGCCCATCTGTGGAGGTTAATAACTCCTTACCCTTTTAGGCCCGATGCCACACCTAATTATAATTATTCTCTCATGATGAAAATAGAAAAAAAAAAAGACAATGGCTTTAGGAACGACTTGCCTTCAGAAATAAACACAAACACTACAAACCATTTGCAGTGCTCTATTTTTAATTTTGACATCAATGTTTTTACCAAAGTTTAATTGTTTTTTTTTTCTTTACTATATATATATATATATATATATACTATCATCCTGTTGATCTTATTTAGCTTATTTTCTGCAGCTTGGAAATGCATAACTCAGCTGACTGTATCCTGTATACCTGTGTTATAACTCAGAAGGTGGGATGATGCTTGACACAGAAGACAAAGAGAGTCCTCTGTCTCCTTTCACAGGCAAACACTTAACATCAGTGCAATGAATACAAATAACACCAGAGAAAGAGTGAGCCTCTTCTTTAATTAGACAGCTTTGATCATAGAGGTCCTCCTCCGTGCCGTGGTCCCTCTAACCTGGAGAGATCAATCGTTGCAAGTAAAGGCAGCCTGCAGCCGAGCAACATTTTCCTAAAAGCATTTCTCTCTGAACATCAGGAGACAAAGGGCTGTCAGCAGTCAGAGACACAGTTTGTCTTTGAAAAGTAAAGGTGGAGTCAGATGACACACAGCTGGCATAAGAGATTTCTGTTAAAGCCTCACTGCTTTAGAGAGGAGGCATCTTATGGTGGTTAGGTTTAGTCATTACAGTTCAGGGATTTAACAGGATCAAAAAGCATTTATGCAGCTTACACTTGTTTTTAATTTTCAGTGTTTCAGTCATAAAT